GGAGACTTGCCACGGTCTCCAACCCTCCTCCTTTCTCATCCGGGCTTGGGACTGGCCATGGCGGAGTTTTGGGGAAATATTACATCGGAAATACCGGAAATATCGACACCTAACGAACGGCAGACCACCTGTCGAATATGAGAAGATGGACGACCGCTGACAAAGGCGAACGAGACGCGACAACAAATGATCCGGGAAGAAAACAAGCCCTCCCTCATAGCAAGAAAAAGAAAAATGCGAAATGGCCCTTAATATCTTATAACTCGCTGCAGAGAAAGGTCACATTTAACAATAGTTAAATTGCACGAATGGCAAAAAACAAAGATGAAAGAAGTCCAAATTATTTAATCTTGCAAATGTGTCAACCGGGACAAACGATACGAATTCGGCTCGGACAGGACAAGGTTTATCAAACCCGTGAGAGGAAAAACTCTCAAAACGGCTGTATAAGCCGAAATCACACCTTCTGCTCCAGACGCCACAGCACCTGAGGACTATGCTACGAACTGCAAAGCTAATCCAGGCCGCCATGAAGAAGGTTCGAGAGAAACGAGCCTAAACGTCGATGCTGGTCAATCATCAGATTGACCAACTTTTCATCTGTGCTGTGCATAAATAAAAGATTTTGTCCATTTTGCAATTTTTTGGTATGAACATGAACAAATTTATTAACTATATTTTATTCTTTAAATGCAAATCTAAGTAATTCGCGGAATTCCATATAAGTTTTCAGCGAATCACAAAGCACCTTTCTAAACCTTTACTAATTACAGATAGCTGCCTGAAGTTCGTTCAGTATACTCCTTGTCATCATTAACATTGAAATCGCTAGAGTGGTTTCCGTCCCATCGGCATCTCTAATGCCGAAGGCGTCATCGTGTTAAGTAGTATGTGGTTGTATTTATTTTGTCGTTTTTTCGGTTGTATTCAATCTGTAAGTTGATTTCACATTGTTGAACATTTCTCTTCTTTTCTTTACCATTTACCTTTATTTCGCCGCTACTTTATTCGTGTTCTCTTCTTCACATGAGCACCTTATTTTCGTGCGCACGCCATGTTTTTCGCTTTTTCCTTTCTCGTTTTTGTTTCCATCCGGACTTTAAAGAGCCCTATATACTTGCTGATCCTGTGTTATTTTATTTTTCTGTGTCCCTTCCAGTAGTTTTTTCTCAGTTCACTTTTGCAAGTCAGCTTCTTCTTTTGCATACGTCCTTTTTCCTCTTCATTCTTTCTTCCTTTCCTTTCTTTGCATTCTTTGTACTCTATTCTTCATTCCCTTTACTTGCTTCTTACTGCTACTGGTGACACACCATGCCTTATTCGATCGTTTTATGTTTCAGCGAGAAACGGCTGCTTACCTGCCTTTGTTACCTTCCGTTGTATGTTCTATTTTGATTGTACGTTGAGTCTCACTTGAAAAACGTAAGCGCTATTTTGTTGATGTCGAGTAGTTATTCTGCTCTTTAAATTCTCAGCTTTTTCTGTAAGTTAGTTTCCATTCAACTTATGTTCTGTTTTTCCTTTATTTTGGTCGTTTCTATTCTCTCTCTGTTTGTTTATTTGTGTTCCACATTTCTTGATTTCTTATGGCAGCTGTTGTCACTCCACACCTTCAATTTTCGCAAAAAATAATTTCTTGTTCTGCGTATATTGTATTCTTTGCTGTATCTTTTCCTTGTCTTATTCGCTTTCGCGCCGCATTTTTCGTTTTCTGCGGTTGTCGTTTCGTGAAGAGTTTAACCACAGTGTTGTTCATAAGCATAAGCAGTTCTTTTTCGCTCTAAAATGTGTTCGCTGCTATGCGTTCTATCATGTTTCGACGTAAATCCGTGAGTAATTTTGTTGCTGTAATGTTGCATTGTCTTACTTCAGTTCTTTTCTACCGCTTTCCAGAAAGTTTCAATTCATAATTTCTTGCTAAATATTCCTTCTGTTATTGTTTTAGGGGGTTTCCATAACGGCATTTGTTTCCTGGAGATGTTACTTTTCGTCGTTAAAATCATGCACATGTGTATATTGTCATGTTAATGTAGTTAACTGTTCTGTCATTTGCTGTTAACACAGTCATTCAGAGTCGCTAGCCTTTCAATACTTTTTTTTTCTTAACCGTTCTTTTCTTCTGGCATGGGCCTTTAATTTTACAAGGTTTGCATTTTGTAATTATAAATATAGCTTATACAGCATGATAAACGTACCGTGCATGCGTGTGTTTTGTCAGTGGTTACCGTCGTTCTAATCATTGATGTCATGTACCCGTATATGCATGCAAAATTCCAAAATCTTTCATTTACATGCAGTTGTAACAAATTAATCTGGACATCTGCACGGAATAATCACTAGAAGCAAATTGACATGACACAGACGAAAGGAAATCCGACCACAAATAACGAAGACTTACGTCGTACTTCTAAGTTATATTCTTAATCTGAGATTTGCACTAAAGATATGTTACATCAATATAAACTTGAGCGCGATCTTCCGACTCTAGCAGCATTTGATCCTCGACTCGTGCCTCTTTTACGCCGCCATGTAGCCGTTGATTGCAGGGGTTCGAAAACCGTTTAGGTTGTTAGAACTTGTTGAATTTTTAGGTAAAGTGGTTCAACATGCAACATTTACTCAAGGAGGTGTGCTTCTCATGTATCATCCAGCAGACGCAGGATGTCTACCTAGAGGCCAACGTGAAAGACTGAGGAACAAAGAAGAGGCAGATGTGCTTTCGTCGAGGAAATGGGATATTTCTTTTTATGATGCATTAGCCGGTACCTGATGGCAAAATTGTAGAAAAATTACGGACAGCAGACATCATAAACGCGGAAACGTTGCGTTTATGCAAACGTCTCAACGTAATGATCTGAACAAACAGTATCATCACATATCTTGACCTCTACTCCTGCAGGCTGCTACACCTTTGTTCGTATTTTCTTTTAAGGGCATCCATTTCCAGTTCGCAGAATAAATCGACCCGACAGCTGCGCAGTAAATCTGGGTATTGGTGAATTCGCCATTCCCGTCAGAATTCAGACCTTGGACTAGTTTTTAAAACGTCAAAAAGGCTGGAGCAATGCTCGTGTTTAGGCACTGATCGTGGTTGCCAATGCAGGAAACGAGCACCCTTGAATATTTTCTTTTCGTATGACGTTTGGAAGCTAGCAAATGTTCTACACTCAATTTGAAGAGCCACTGAACCGCAGCTTGCAACATTTTGTGCATTCCTGCAGTACCACGGTTTGATTTATACAGTTAATATTCCGTAGCAAAATTGTAAATAGTTTTATTTTCTGTCTCCACCCACGTTTAGGAAAATTCTAGGACTTTCACGTTGCAGAAGGTAGACACGCGTACTGTAGCTTACTTTCATCAGGCTAGTATGCAGGATCATGTATTCCGCGGCTGTCTGCAGCCAGTTTGGAAGACGCCAGGAAGCAGACACAGGAAGCTAGATTAAGACTAGTTCCTTTTTTGAAATTTAGATTAGCTGTTTGTTTGGAAAGGTTGTTGCATTCAACATTATTCACTAATTCACGTTACGGTGTGTCTTGGTTTTGTGAAACAGTTCAGAATGATTTTCTTGATTTCAGTCGCGAATCTCCCGCTACCTTGAGATAGGTCGAAAGCCACGGTTGTTAACCAGAGTATTTCAGCTGTGGGAGTTCTTCAATGGATCTGCTTCCCTGCAATACTTTCAAGTCAAGTGCCCCATCGAGATTCTTCATCTCCTTTGTCCTTGC